TTCATTCTGCTGGTGTTTTGCCTGTTCATCTCACACTCGAGCCTGTCAGCATTTACTGTGCCTGTTAACTTTTAGTGGGGACATTTATTAGGCAAGGATAATGTATTCCCTTAAATACTTCTTTTCCTTCTTCTTATTCCAGCCTTTAACTGAGAGGAAGCAGTTGCTCCAGTTCTCTTCCCAAAGCAGGTGGAGCTCATTTGCCTCCCTTGCCCCGGGTCCCTCTCGCCTCTGCTGCCCTGTGATATCTCTCACCCGAGCTCATGCATGCCCATGCTCTCTCCCGTGACTCACTGGGAGCGAAGTAATTACATAATTTTAGGAGTTGGATAGAATTGTTTTCCTGAGAAGACACTCAGGTGTCCTCCCAAGCCATAAGCGTCTCCCCTTTTCATCCTGGGGCTCTGGATGGCATAGGGGGCCCTCTGGATTACAGCCTCCTGTGCCATCAGCTGGGTGGAGCCACGGTGTGTTCTTTGCTTTGAGAGCGGCAGGTAGACCTCTGCGTTCTGCTGAACCAGGGACAAGGAGGGTAGCAAACTACAGAACTATTTTAAAGTTCCAAATGGATTCTCAGAAATCTGTGTTCTTGTCCATTTAGATTGTGAGTACAGAAACTCTTTGTTCTCTTAGAAGTGAAATGTTGACTGCTGTTTAGTTTTCTTTTCCTTTGTGGTAATTAGCCCCTCATTAATCCATCCTCTGTGGCAATGCCATATTTATATATGAGAATCTTAACTTTCTTCTCTGGGTATCTTTGGTTATGTTTTACAATGGTGTTGATTGTGGAGGCCTTGGTTGTAAAACAGGTAGCTCATTCACAGAGGCTAAAATATCCTAAAAGTTTATCTTGCATTAGATTCTTCCTCCACTCCTGTGCCCCCAGCCCCCAGCCACCTGGTTCCTTTCCTCGTGGACACTCACTGTGTTAGTATTTTGCATTTCCTTCCTGATTTATGTTAATGCACATATGAATATATGTTATTTCCCCTTTTTAAACAGATGGTATGCACAGTGTTCTGCGCCCTGCCTTTTTCCCTCAGCAGTGCATCTTAGAGATCTGTACATATAAATATATTAAGAAATGTCTGATTCCTTTTTATAGCTGCAGAATATTTCTTCATATGGAAGCACCCAGATTTACCTAAGTGCTTTCCCATCGATGGGGATTTAAGCTTTCCTCATGGTTTCTGAGATGAAGGCCATGGATAAAAATAAACAAGTGGAATTCATACTGACCAGATGCAGCTTAGACAGTCAAGAGATTGAGCATGGTCCTGTGTTGTTTGTTGGGGATTTTTCTATAAAATGGTGAAGGGCATTGCAGTGGTCTTCAGTGGAACATTCAGCTTTGCATATGTACTTCTGGCAGTCCTCAAATAAGGAGGATCACTGGACACATTCTTTTAATGGATTATTTTGCATGCTATTGGGTCTCCTATCTTGGACAATTAGTTTGTTTTAAAAGATGGTTGTCTGAGTCCAGCCAGATGAATGGAAATTCATAAACTTGGTAAAGGGAAATGAAGACTTGGTACCCATCATTTAGAATGCGATTTGTTCAGGGTCAGGAACACTTACCCCACGTGATAAATAACTAACCTTTTCATCAATTCTCATTTAATAGATGCCGTAATGGGATATATTTGGGGTGGTAGAAGGCAAAACTGTAACTTTCTTGAGGGAAAGGTGGCTGACACATCTGACCTCATAAATTCTTGTTTAATTGAATGAGAAACATGATCAAAGGATTATAAAGTATGGTAAAGACGGCCCTAGCAATATATTAATGTCTACATTGTACTGAAGTGTATATATTAAAGCCTTAACACGATGCGATGTTTGAACTAGCAGAACATTAGAAGATGAAAGTCATAATTTAGGAAGGAATAAGCCATAAAGTTACTTTTATGCTTCCTTTTGAAGTACTGCTTTTAATGACCTTGAAAATCTTATTTGTAGCTAAACTTAAATCTGGAAATATAAATATATTTAGTAAATGAATCTAACCTGTTAGCAAGATTGTTGAGTAGCTAGGAAACAAATGCTCTTTGGGTCTGTGGAGGAGGTAATGAGCATGTGTAATGGGAACCTGCCCAGGGACCCGCTTTGTTGGACTGTGAAGAATCAGTCCCACACCCTTCAGGACAGGCAGAGGGACTTCCACATTTGATACCTCTGGAGAGAGTTTCTTTACCTTTTGTCTGTTTTGAACATCTTCTTTCTTGTTTGATTCCTTTAGCAGTTAGGTTAAATATTGGTCAAGTCTTATAATATTAGAAACAATGTCTATTTATTCAACCTTATTTAAAAATAAGCCCTATGAACCTCCTAGCATTCCTTTATCTTCTATATCCTTTAAATTATAGGGGAATGAAACATTTTACAAGTTAAGACTAACAGTTGTGGTAACTGATTTCTTTGAGAACCAATCAAAAGTTCCAAATGATGAGTGGCAATGATAGTATGTATGCATAAGCACCTACTGTCCATGTTCAGGGCACCTGATGTGCACCAAGATATTGGCTTAACTCTAAATTGGGAGCCCACGTTTAGCAACAAACATACTCCATCTTCACTATGTCTACTTGATGATGAAAAGTCAGAGCCATTGGAGCTCGCACCAGATTTAGGACCATTTTGTGTTTGATTGTTTGTATTTAGCGTCATGAAGTTACAGTTTTGGTGGGGAGGGAGGATGTGATTCAAAATTCTTCAGATGTGGTGAGATGACATGGATGGGGCTTATTGTGTTATTCATTCCCTCCCTCCCTCCCTTTCTCCCTCCCTCCTTCCCTCCCTCCCTCCCTCCTTCCTTCCTTCCTTTCTTCCTTCCTTATTTCCTTCCTTCCTTCATCTTGCTCTGTCAGGTTGGAGTGCAGTCGTGCAATCACTGCTCTCTGTAACCTTGACCTCCCAGACTTGAGCGATCCTCCCACCTCAGCCTCCCAAGTAGCTGGGACTACAGGCACCTGCTACCACGCCAGGCTAATTTTGTATTTTTTATAGAGACAAGGTTTCTTCATGTTAGCCACGCTGGTCTCAAACTCCTGGACTCAAGCAATACTCCTGCCTCAGCTTCCTGAGTACTGGTGCCTGCCACCACGCCAGGCTAATTTTATATTTTTTTGTAGAGATGAGGTCTTGCCATGTTACCCAGGCTGATCTTGAACTCCGGGACTCAAGCAATTTGCTCGCCTTGGCCTCCCAAAGCACTGGGATTACAGTCATGAACCACCACGCCTGGCCACTGTGTTTTATTCATCTTGGTTCTCAGTGAGGAAACCACAGCAGAACTGGATTAAGGGGTCAGAGTCCATGGGTCACCATTTATTAATGGAGCTGTTATCTCTTGATTCCTGATTCAAAGTGGTTTTTTTTTCTTAACTATTGATTTGGTGTCGAATTTTCTTCTTTTAACTAGTTCAAAATTTATTCTCTCCATAGCCAGAGCTCCTCGAAACTTCTGCCACTGTTAAATGCAGACTCGTTGTCTTTTTCAGAGTTTCTTGGCTGTGAAGCCAGGTCATCACAAGGCTTGACTGTAATGATGAAACAGGATGTGATAGTAGTCATCAGATCCCACTTTTTAGTGGGAGCTTTTTAGACATTGCTACATAAATGACTTTTCCATGCATGGACAAAGTCTACAGGCCACAAACTGAGTCCAAAACAAAGGGACTCCAGACTGATATGTTGACAAGATTCCTAGAGAAAGGGCCTTGTCCATGTACACTGATCATAAACCTTGTTTTTGAGTTTTACTGGTTCCGTTTAGCTGTGATGCTTGACTTTCTTTCATTGAAGGTTGTCTTGGCTTGGCATTGGGTGAAGCACATTATGAAGGTTTAGATGTGGGCCCTGCGGTCCCACCCCAAGCTCCGGCACATTCCCTTAACCTCAGAGCTGTTCTTAGGAAAGGGAGATGCTCGTTCTCTCAGCAAATCCTGCTCTGATGCTCGTCTTTCCCTACAGCCCTTCTTCCTCTTCTTTTTTTTAAGTTTTTTAAATTTTTTAATTGCATTTTAGGTTTGGGGGTACATGTAAAGAACATGCAAGATTGTTGTATAGGTACACACATGGCAGTGTGATTTGCTGCCTCCCTTTTTTTATTTTTAGGGTGGAGTATCTCTATTTTTCCAAACCCTCACTGTATTTGAACCCTTTTATTCCTGCCCTATTCTATCTCAAGCGTTTGTGATAAGACTAAAGACTCTTTTAAAGTCGTATCTTCCATTCAGCTGCTGTCTGTTTTGTTTTTGGTTTTTTTTTTTTTTTTTTTTTCATATTTTTTTTTTTTTAATTGCATTTTAGGTTTTGGGGTACATGTGATGAACATGCAAGATTGTTGCATAGGTACACACATGGCAGTGTGCTTTGCTGCCTTCCGTCCCCTCACCTGTATCTGTCATTTCTCCCCATGCTATCTCTTCCCACCTCCCCACCCCCCGCCCCTCCCCCATTTCCCCCCAACAGACCCCAGTGTGTAGTGCTCCCCTCCCTGTGTCCATGTGTTCTCATTGTTCAACACCCGCCTATGAGCGAGAATATACGGTGTTTGATTTTCTGCTCTTGTGTCAGTTTGCTGAGAATGATGGTTTCCAGGTTCATCCATGTCCCTATAAAGGACGTGAACTCATCGTTTTTGATGGCTGCATAATATTCCATGGTGTATATGTACCACATTTTCCCTATCCAGTCTATCATCGTTGGGCATTTGGGTTGGTTCCAGGTCTTTGCTATTGTAAACAGTGCTGCAATGAACATTCGTGTGCACGTGTCCTTGTAGTAGAATGATTTATAATCCTTTGGATATATACCCAGTAATGGGATTGCTGGGTCAAATGGGATTTCTATTTTTAGGTCCTTGAGGGTTTTTGTTTTTTAACGTGTAAAGGAATGTTTTTCTCAATCTTAGGGATGCCCTATTTTTGTTGTTCTTCTGTTCCTTTGTTGGTAAGATCTGTTTGTACCTCTTGTCTCAACGTCTTCCCATGCAGGGCTGCAGACTCCTGTTCCAGAGGTTATTGTTGATGTGGAATCCATGGACATCTTCCCCGTGGGCTGGTGTGAAGCCAATTCTTATCCTTTGACTACACCACACAAAACAGTCTGTAAGTGGTTCCCAGTTCAGGGGGGTGGTGGATAACATCGGTAATCTTCGTGAATCAATCGGCAGCTTTGTAAAGAAATTATAACCAAGTTCTAAAGCACAAATAAGATTTTTGACTTTCCACTGAGAACCCAGGTTTTTGTTGTCTCACTTAATCTTTAAGTGTCTGTGTGAGATGATGTCACAGGTTGACAGACTAACAGTGAGGGACAGTTGAAGGTCACAGAGAGGCAGAGGAAAAAATACCTGAAATCGTCACTCTCAGGTTTTTATACAGTTCATTGTTTTGATGTGAAAAAAAAATTGTTAACATACTATATTATTGTATTATCATTTCTTTGAAAGATCTGATTTTTCTCGTGTAGCTTCTACCAGCAGAATACCATGTTGCAGGTGCCTTATTCTTATAATCTTAGTACTTTGGGAGGCCATGTCAGGAGGATGCTTGAGCCCATGATTTTGAGGCCAGCCTGGGCAGCATAGTGAGACACCGTCTACACATAAAAAAAGAAGTACATATAGAAGTAGATTAGTTGAGTAGGGTGGCACATGTCTCTGGCCACTCTGGAGGCTAAGGTGGGAGGATTGCTTGAGCCTAGGAGGTCAATGGTGCAATGAGCCAAGATTGCAACCAAGCACCAGTGTTCTCCAGCCTGGGTGACAGAGTGAGACTCCATCTCAAAAAATAAATAAAACAAACACCTAACCTTCTCTTAGCACTAACTAATCACTGTTATTTCAACTGTACTTTATAAAGTATATTACCACACATCCCTTTGATTACAGAAATACCAAATAAAACCATTAACAGTTAAATAACCCAGCAGTACACTCCCATTCATACACATGTGCACACACACACATGCACATTTAAATACAGGCAACGGTGGTTTTTTTGTTCATTTGTTTTGTTTTGGGGACAGAATTTCACTCTTATTGCCAGGCTGGAGTGCAATGGCACAATCTTGGCCCACTGCAACCTTCACCTCCCAGGTTCAAGTGATTCTCCTGCCTCAGCCTCCTAAGTAGCTGAGATTACAGGCACCCACCACCATGCCAGGATAATTTTATATTTTTAGTAGAGACAGGGTTTCCCCATGTTGGCCAGGCTGGTCTCGAGCTCCTGACCTCAAGTGATCCACCTGCCTTGGCCTCCCAAAGTGCTGGGATTACAGGCATGAGCCGCCAAGCCCCGCTAACAGTGTGTTTTAACATATATTATTGTAGGTTATTATCACAAAATGGATGGTACCATTTAATAATCTTCTAACCTAATAAATCATTGCATTTATTATTCTATCCTAATATGTATCAGAAGTGTTATTTAAAATGATGAGTCCTTAAAGATAATAGGTTTCAACTGTTAAAGAGATTCTATCTCTATCTTTTCTTTATGGAATTTAGGTGCCAGCTTTCCTCCTTCCTAACAGCCTGTTCTGTGGTCGCTTCTGTAGACTCTCACAACATTGCTGGAGACACCCCAGTTCCACTGCATAGTTGACTTGCAGTTCCCCGATGACAACAGGGTTTCAGGGCTCCTCTAGCTAGCATTATTAAGAGCACCAGAGGACATTATGTGTGTGAAAGAAGTAGGTAGTTCAGATTAGACACAGACGTGGATGCTACGGGATTCTCCTTTTCCTAAACCATCCTACTCAATGTCTGATCCACTTTAGAGCAACAGTTTCCCCTTATTTAAAAATATTCTAAAACATTGATCATATACTCATCATTTTAACCTCAGGGACATTATTTTCCCCTGTCACTTAAAATGATGCAGATTCTGGCCAGGTGTGGTGGCTCACGCCTCTAATCCCAGCACTTTGGGAGGCCAAGGCAGGTGGATCACCTGAGGTCAGGAGCTCAAAACCAGCCCGGCCAACATGGCGCAACCCCATCTCTACTAAAAATATAAAAAAATCAACCAGGCGTGGTAGTGGATGTCTGTAATTCCAGCTACTTGGAAGGCTGAGGCACAAGAATTGCTTGAACCCGGGAGGCGGAGGTTGCAGTGAACTGAGATTGCACCACTGCACTCCAGCCTGGGCAACAGATCCATACTCCACTCTGTCTAAAAAAAGAAGTGCTTCAGATTCTGACCTTGCCCAGCCAGCATGGCCAATCGGCTCTCCCTGAGTTTTGTCGCGCGATTGGAGCTCCAATCCCCTTTGTCCTTGTTGTCGCTCAAGGAGAACCTGGTGTCCTGAATCCTCTCCCTCCCCACTTCACATGGATATGGGAGGCTGCACGTGCTTTGGGTTTTTCTGGAGCACAGTCACGTACGGGTTAAGGTTATCCGAGCCAAACACCATAAAATTACCTGGTTCTTTAGGATTTGGGATCCGGGTCTGTTGTGCTTGGCTTTTTCCCAGGGGGTCAGGCATCCCCATCCCATTAACAAAGACCAAAGGAGACAAGTATTCCAAACTCACTTTGCACTGAGAGGTCCTACGTGTGGACCTTTTTGTAGTAATAACTGGAACTGAATATCAGATAGTCAACAGTAGGCGAGATTTTATGGAGTATTTTCCTTATTTATTTTTGCTTGCATTCCTTGCACATACATTTTGCTTTAAAGAGGCAAACTACATCTCCAAACCTGCCAGACTCTAGCAGCTTTAGAAGTTTTGTTGGAATTAATTTATGCTTATGTTGGAAGATGTAGGATTATCCGAGCCAAATGTAGTAGATGCCAGAAGCTTTCGTCTATTTTTGTTAAGGTGATCTGAATCAGTTATAAATATAAACTGGAAATGTTCTTATCCACATAAAATCACTATTCGCTCATTTATGTCAATATTTGACCAGACATATTTACGAGCTACTGATTCTCCTTTTGTGAATAACATGTTTTAGTTTAAATGCATACATCTGACAGCACTTCGGGAGTGTGTTGTGATAGTAACATGATGCCTCATCACAACTCTTCTTGGGAAAAAAGTCATTCTGGATAACTGCTTGCAATAATCGATCTGAATGTGTGTGCTTATGCGAGGTACAACAGGTGTACTCTTTTGCTTTCTTAAGTGCACATTTAAAAATAAAGTAGCTAGTGTCATGATAAGATTAAATGAACTGATTTCTACTAAGATCTCACGTCTGGTGAGTTAACATCTACCCTGTGCTAGAAGAAACAGATAGGGAATTGTGGCAGGAGTGACATAACTTTTCAGCATGTAAGTTACTGCTTTAAAATGGGCGCCTTTTTATTTTATAACCTGTTTTTCAAAATGGACTTGCTCTACTAACAAAGCTGATTTTCTTTTTTCCCATTTGCCTTTTTTACAGCACAAAAGAAGAGAAAGATTGCAGTTGTGCAACCAGAGAAACAGTATGTGCTTTTTTCCCCCCGCCAGACTGTACTGTATACTGATAAACTGTAGCGTCTTTATGGAGGATGGGAAGCATGGCTGTTTTTATTGGAGTTAGCTAGCAAATAGCACACTAGTAGAGGTAGCAGTAAAACATAGTGGCTGCCGTTTGTTGTGTACCTGTTACGTGCAAGACACAGTGCCTGCCTGCTCCCCAAGGCACTCACAGGCCAGATTCCTGTGGCTCGCTTTTTATTCCCCCTCGGCATACCTGGGGAGCACCCCATCCCTACACACAGAGTCATGGCTGTCTGTGCCTGCAATTCTCGGCGTCCACAGGGGCCCCAGGTGGCAGGTGCAGTTTCGACTTGCAGCCCCTTCACCGCACTTGGAACGCTGCTTCTTACTCACCTCTCCTGGAGTGGCTGGGCCTGGGAGGCAAAAAACTTCAGTCCAACCCCAGCTCTGCTGAGTGAACTTGAGCAAGTAACTTTAGTTCTCTGCCTCTCAGCGCCCTGGTTTATAACATTTAATTGGGGAGTTCTTATGAAGATTACATTAGATTCCATTTGAAAAAACTCTAGGCCTTAAGTTGTAGGCTGAGCAAATCCAGAATGTACCCCATCCCTCATTTCATTTGTGATTTTACGTGGAAAGAGGGTGTTAGCAAAGTGTGTCCAGGAAGGAAGTGTGTTTTTGAAAAGTTGTGACTTGCTAGTAGCATTTCTAGATATTGAAAAATATTTAAAATATGCTAAAATGTACATTCCATGCCAAGTGATTCTTTCTTAAGTAAATAAAAATATATTGATGGAAAGACAACTGAAAACAGCATTTTTCATATGCAGTCGTTGAGTTTACGTAAAATGAAATTGAACTGTAATTGCACTATTTGAATGAGAATAATGTTCTGTAGGTGTTTTTTGTGGGTTCGCTTCTAAATGCAGTGTATGCGGCTCGTAACCAGGCTCCATATCATCCGCCTGATGTTGAAGTAGAGAGATTTCATGACACACCTGTGATTAAATCCAAACTTGAATCCCATCACTTCTAACTGTACCGCCCACGGATTCACGGTTCTCACCCTTCCCATGCATCAGTCACTTAGGGAGCTTGGAGCACACAGATTGCTGGGCCTCGTTCTCAACATTTCTGATTCAGAATGTCTGAGATGGGGCCCAATAATCTGCATTACTGATGAGTTTACAAGTGATGCCATTGCTGTGGGTTTGGGGAACGCCTCTTGGAGAACCACTCCAGAGATGACTTTGCTAAGATCTCTTGTAAAGGTTGACTTTGAGCTGAAGGAGTTTTTCATCCATGTGGTTTCTATGCCACCAACCTAGACACCCCTGTGAAACCTAGTTCACCCTTTTTCCCCTAAGGCTGCATTTTAAAACACATACTAATTCAGCAACATTTTTACTGAACTATAACAGAGCTCTGCCCTGGAATAAGCCTACTTCACATTTTAAGATTGGCCAGTTTATAGATTTTCTTTTAAGGTCTCATATTTAGTGTGGCCATGACTCAAACGTGCCCGAGGTCAGAAATCAAAGGTTCGCAGAAAGTGGTTTTCAATTAGACATGGAAGTAGAAAAGTCTGACTTTAATTAAATGTAACATAATGTGTCTTCATGTCTAAAGTATAATGGAAGACAGTATTACAATTCCATAGCAAGAGATAAGGCCAGAAGCACCCTGGGAGAAACTCATTGATCAGTGCCAGCCGCTTGGGGGCAGATGTCTCATGGGCTTTTTAGGGTCAACCAAAGAACTGGAGAACAACTTTTCTGAAATGCTGTTTTCACCTGGTCTTACCGGGACTGCTCCCATACACACATTCTATTTTCTGGTCTTCTTATCTAAGATTTCTACAAGAGTCATTTTAAATTGTGATAAGACTTTGGAATGTAGTCGTTCCTTCTAGAGCTCCTGGTCCCTGATAGTTCTGTTTTCTCTGTTGACAGATCGCCGGCCGCAGTGCCTGTTAAGAAAATACCTCATGACCTTTGTTTATTCCCTCACCTGGACACCACAGGTAATCAGTCCCATTTAGGGGTCTGCGTGCCTTCCCACTTTGCAGCCAGGAGCAGAGACATATATATGTTTCTAGGTCTATATGAATGTATCTCACGTTGAGCCTGTTCTGTTTTTCTCCATTGCCACTCATGAGCAGATACGTCCTTTTTAAAAAGAAAAATTTCTGAGCTAAATTCACTGTGGCTTTTCTTTTCTGCTTCTTGGCCAGTAGCTCTAGACAGTTCTAGTCTACAGGAGAAGGGTTTATGTGTGACTTGCAAATTAGGAACCAAATAAGGAATGCATGTCATGGGGGAAAGGAAAGAGTTGAGAGTATCATCTCATTGGGCAATTTTTTGTTAATATTTTATTATGGTTCCATTTGCATTTTTACACTTGCTGTTAGGATTTAAGTTACCCTGGCTTTTGAATTGTTCCTTAAAACCTTCTGTTTGAAGAGCTAGTTATGAACAGTATATGTTTTTTAATGTGTAAAGCCTTATATCTTACAATAACCTTAGAAAATACATTTGTGAGCTACCCTCTGGCCATCAAGTCTGGTAATAGACATGTTTGTACATTGTCATACTTGATTAAAAAGTCTATTCTCTAAGCCAAAATGAACTTGCTCTGAATTCCAGGATTAAAACCAACATGTCTTGGACGAATCCTACTAGTGGGTTATCTTGGTAGTAAAGAGCAGTTCGATGAGTAGATTTAACTAAAATTTTGTTTTTCTACATGTCTGCTAATCTAAAGGCAAAGTAATTCTACCAAAAATTTCCATGTAAATAATGAAGCCCTGGACTTCATTATTTTGCTTGTTGTATATAATTCAAACTTTAGAATGGGTTTAAAAGAACCATGCCAGCTACCGTTTCATAGTCTATGATTGTAATATTACTTCTTTACTATCCAGAAGAATAACATTTCTGCCTCCTACCTCTGCTGGTTCTTAGTTGAAGTCTTTATGAGAACAAGCCTACCTAGACTGTTAAATTACCATCCCAAATTGACAGCGATGGTTTTGCAGAAGTTCCACTGTGGGTATTGCTTAGCTTGGAGCTTGGGTAGAGTCAGAGTGGGGTGGTGAGTCCCTTAGTCAGAAGAGAAACCTCATTCTACATTTATAGATATTAAGAAGCTTCAGGCCCAGAATGGTGGCTCACGCCTGTAATTCCAGCACTTTGGAAGGCTAAAGCAGGCAGATTGCTTGAGCTCAAGAGTCCGAGCCCAGCCTGGCCAACATGGTGAGACCTCGTCTCTACTAAAAATACAAAAATTAGCCGGTCATGGTGGTGTGCACCTGTAATTCCAGCTACTCGGGAGGCTGAGGCAGGAGAATCACTTGAAACCACAAGGTGGAGGTTGCACTGAGCTGAGATTGCACCGCTACATTCCAGCCTGGGCAACAAAGTGAGACCCTGTTTGAAAAACAAAACAAAAAAAAGTTTCTCTCTTTTTTGAGATAGAAGTTTGTTGCTCTTTTCACCCAGGCTGGAGTGCATTGACGTGATCTCAGCTCACTGTAACCACCACCCAGGTTCAAGCGATTCTTCTGTCTCAGCCTCCCAAGTAGCTGGGATTACAGTTGCACACCACCATGCCTGTCTAATTTTTATATTTTTAGTAGAGATGAGGTCTCACCACGTTGGCCAGGCTGGTCTTGAACTCCTGACTTCAGGTGATCTGCCCACCTCGGCCTTCCGAGGCATGAGCCACCCCGCCTGGCCAGAAAATAAATTTTAGATTGAGATCTTATCATTTAATGATTCTGCTTGCCCATGGCATTTTGAGACAGCAAGATCAGCAGCTTTCCCTGTTCCCTTTTTGAGTTGAAAGAGGAATATGGGTGATGCAAACTTAAGCTGCAGTGAGGTCTGCTTCGGCTTCATCAGATTGGCAGAATGGAGGAGCATAGTGGGAACCAGTGCTGGCGTGGATGTGGGACTACAGGACCCCTTCCCTGGTGCTAACAAGCGTGTCAGTGGGGTGGTCACTGTGGAGAACAGATGGCCATGTCTAGTAAAACTGAAGGTACAGATACACAGACCTGTGGCCTAGCTGGTCCACTCCTGTTACACGCCTGAAAGACTCTGTTGCCCACATGCAGAAGATTTTCACAGTTGTATTCATGAAAGCACTGTTGACAGTCCTGAAAAAGTAGAAACAATTAAGTATCCATCAGTAAGAGGCCAGTCAGCTAAATGATGATCTATTAATTCAATCAAGTCAAATTAAGAAGTAAAAAAATGAATGGGCCAGGTACAGTGGCTCACGCCTGTAATCCCAGCACTTTGGAAGGCTGAGGTGCGTGGATCACAAGGTCTAGAGATTGAGATCTTCCTGGCCAACATGGTGAAACCCCATATGTACTAAAAATACAAAAAAAATAATTAGCTGGACTTGGTGACACACACCTGTAGTCCCAGCTACTCGGGAGGCTGAGAGGAGAATCACTTGAACCAGGAGCCAGAGGTTTCAGTGAGCCGAGACTGCACCACTGCACTCCAGCCTGGCGACAGAGCGAGACTCTGTCTCAAAAACAAAACAAACAAACAAAAGAATGAACTTTTTAGATCCACATCTACCAACTTGGATATATCTCAGAAACTTCTTGTTAAGCAAACAAATGAAATCTTGCAGGAAATCATTTATGGAATATGTTTTAAAATATCATATATTGCGTGTAGGCACACGCATGCTTTTGTGTGTGTGGTTGACGTGCTTGTGGATGATGAACACTAGATTCAGGGTCATGGTCCCCTCTAGAGGTACAGGTTGGGGGTGTCACTGGGGTGAGTGACAACGGGATTTCGCTGTGTAGTTGGTGTTTTTGTCCTTGAACTACACAGTGATTCTGGAGTGGTCATCATCTTAGCCTTTGTGTCTTTTTATGTGTCTTGAATATTGCATCATAAACGGAAATATTTGTTTATATGGTGAAAAAAAAATCCGAATTTTAAAGGTATCCTTAAGAATATAAAATGTCCTGCCAGGCACAGTGGCTCACTCCTGTAATCCCAGCACTTTGGGAGGCCAAGGCAGGCGGATTGCCTGAGATCAGGAGTTCGAGACCAGCCTGGCCAACATGTTGAAACCCTGTCTCTACTAAAAATGCAAAAAAAAAAAAAAAAAACAACTGGGCACGGTGGCATGCACCTGTAATCCCAGCTACTTGGGAGGGTGAGGCAGGGGAATTGCTTGAACCTGGGAGGTGGAGGTTGCAGTGAGCCGAGCCAAGATCATGCCACTGCACTCCAGCCTGGGTGAGAGAGTGAGACTGTCTCAAAAAAATAAATAAATAAAATAAAATGTCCCACTATTAGATACAGAGCCTTTTCTCAAAAGAAGACAATCATCTGTTTTTCTCTGCTGCTCTGTTACAATTTGGAGGCAGAGTGACGCCTCCTAATTACGGTTCTAATGACACTGGTCATCACAGTTGTTGTGTTCATTTTGGGATCCATTGCTTTTATTATGCCTGACTCCCCATCAGCCAAGAGCTCAGACAGCACTGTGTGGTCCTTCTTCCGGACCGAGTGGATTAAGCAAGGGTCTTGGGTTCCCCTAGGGTCTGGGGTTGTGGTCCTAAGCATGGGCTGTGTTGCTCTCCCCTGCAGGAACCGTCAATGGGAAATACTGCTGTCCTCAGCTCTTCATCAACCACAGGTGTTTCTCAGGCCCTTACCTGAACAAAGGAAGGATCGCCGAGCTACCTCAGTCGGTGGGACCAGGCAAATGCGTGCTGGTTCTTAAAGAGGTAAAGCCATGCACAGTCACCTTGGCTTACTTTAACAGGATTTTTAAAAAAGCTGTGGGCCCAGTTTCTGAAGGAGGGACTAGACATCAGAAGCAATTCAGTTAACATTTACCAAGACCTCCTTTCTCTCCATCCTGGGGGCCGACGCTAGAGATACAAAGATGGAAAAATGATGCTCTGACCCATGAAAGGTTCCCCGTCCAGTGGGAGGGATGTACATCTGCCTCCCCTCTAATTAAAAGAAAATGTGGGACTAGATTTGAATGAAGTGCTTTGGGAAGACAGAGGGAAGACTGTGTTTGGAGCGATAGCCTAGGACTGGAGTTAAGGTTTCCAGAGAGGTAAACCAGCTTGGAATAGCACAGAGGACTTCGGAAGGCAGCGTACAAGTATTATCACTGAGAATGGTGCCCCTTGGCCAGGTCGTGGTGCTGTGTCATCTTTTCTTTCTTTTTTTTTTTTAATCCTTCTCTTCCCGGCACCTGGTACCTGCACACGGGAGGTAATGGTAAATATTTTGAAGGTGTCCAAGTGCTTTGATGAAGTTTGTGTTATGGGTCTCATCCAGGCCTATCACTTGGAGGCTATGGCTCCCCATTTCTCCTGCTGCCTTTAGGCGATGACCTGCAGAGAGAGGTGAATCCTAAGGCTGTTGATTAAGGCTTCTTCTCCATTGCATTTTTCTAGCATAGCCTCAGACAGTGCTTGGAGACAGACTGGAAATTTGGAATAGTTTCCAAACTCTCCCTGGAACTCTATCTCTGCTCTTTTCTTACACACATCAGTGCTTTCTCTGAAGAAAGGGGATACCAAATGGATATTCTTTATTGCCGCTATGCCAAGATGAATGTTTCTTAAAATTCTATAGGCACAGCTGGGTGCAGTGGCTCACGCCTGTAATCCCAGAACTTTGGGAGGCCAAGGCGGGTGGATCATGAGGTCAGGAGTTCAAGACCAGCCTGGCCAAGATAGTGAAACTCTGTCTCTTAAGAAAAAAAAAAAATGCTGCAGGCACAGTAATCCATTGATCCATTGAACAAATGTTTGCTAGGCAATTTTGAGGAGCCAGGCACCATCAGAAGCATTGGGTTAAAAAACAAACAGGCTCTGCCTTCTGCCTGTTGGGGTTTTCCTGCTCTTGGTGGGGAGATGATATAATCCTCAGCTCGATGTGCAGTTGGGGGTTCAAGAGAGAGAGACAGGAGCACAGTGCCCTGGGGACAGAATGGAGGAGAGAGCAAATAAATGGCAAGTGACATTTGATCTGGCTTAGGCAGAATGCATAGGACCTTGATTACACAACATGGGAATGGCCGCACAGGTGGGCATTCAAGGTGTGTTCCAGAAAGGGGAGTCAGGTATGGCTGGAGCTTAGGAACTTAGAGTGGAGATAAACCGTGGCATAAAAGGGTGCATTTGATTTTAAGAAGGAAAACAGAAGAAGCTAACCTGCCTTGATGATTCAATGTGAGGTTAGACGGAGCAAATTGGATGGGACCTGCTTGTGAAAGGCCTTCTCTGATATTTTAAGTGATTGGGACTTGAATCTATGGCTGGGGCACCCTCAGAGGAATGCCAGACTCAAGCTTTCCCTCTACATGAGAGCCTCTGTGTGGTTTCAAATATCATTTCACTTAATGAGAAGGAGGCCATTGAGCAAACTCAGAGGGCATTTTTGCTTCCTGGTCATCAGTGGTATTCATAATTAAATACGTTTGTATTAGAAAAAAACATCTGCTTGAGAGAGGAAGTAGGGGTTACAGTTTAGAAGAAACCTGTCAGAAATTGATGAGGCTATTGTGGGCATTTATTCGGGAACATGTAGAATGTTTAGTAGGTGGTCTCTGCCCCACACCAGCGTCCAGTCGAGTTGGAAAGATGAATCGGTCAATAGAATGTAGCCACGTGGTCCCAGGTTCTGGGGCAAGACCTGGCACGCACACTGTGAGATCATACTGTAGGCACCTGTGGTCTGTGGGGACTGCAGAACAGGCAGCCTGTCTCAGGTAGGGAGAGGAGCAAGAACAAAGCCAGGGCATTCAGGGTGCAGGGGACGAAGGAGGGAAGAGGAGAGGATGCTCACAGTGCCCGGAATGTGCAGACCACGAACAGGACCCAGGAAGGGCCCTGTTTGTTTTGAGAGTCTCATGCAGGCCTGGCCATGGTACCACACCCTTCAAACACATTTTCATTTAGCAGCAGAGTAGAGCTGCCTTCGCTGTAAATAGCTCATTTCTGCATTTGGCATCATGTTTTGAAATCAAACAGTTTGCATCTCACTCAGCCTAAGTGGTGAGTAGATTCCATACATGAGAAATTTACAGCTAAAGAAAATGGCGATTGAGTTGGGAGGGCCACACCCTGGGAAGAGCTCTGCAGTGTGGTTCAGTGGCAGGACGGCTGGTTAACTCTAAGCACATAAGTTGGCACAGATCCAAGATCCTTGCAAATATCCAAACAAATCAAGCCAAGGTTACATGTACGAATTTCTGCCACCATCGGAAATAGGACCCTAGAGAGAGAATTGACTTTCCTCCGTCTGCTGCAGCTGTCAGTCTGTGAATGGCTTCCCACTAGGGCAATGTTGTCTGCCTGTATCTATGCCTGTTTTTGTTGTCAGTGATAGGATGGGGACACAAAAACTGACAAAAGTAGGGAGAGCCGATGGGCTTCTTTGAAGCTGCCTCCAAGCCTGTTTCACATGGCATGTTCTGTTTTTAAAACGAGATCTTCCCTTATCTGCCAGCTCGGTTAACAAGCAAGATGACCTTGGCTTCAGCCTTTCTTGAGGGGCTGGCTCTTTTACTTTACTAAATGATTTTTTACAGTCAAAAGTAGTTATCCCTGATCAGTTCTCCGATAGGTGCCAGCAACTAAATTTAAAAGCTAAGCCAGAGTTTCTAATGACAAAACTAACTTTTTGCTGATGTTTGAAAAACACATGTGGCAGGAAGAAAGAAACAAAACAAAAAGATGAGTTCTGTGAGTGCCAAAGAAAAATGTAAGTTCCACCAAGCTCATATTTATGCTAATGCTTCTCTTTCAGTACCAGAACCTCTGTAGCTTCAAATTTCATTTTAGTTAAAGAGAATGAGGTAACATTTTGGGAGGCTAAGGTAGGCAGATCACAAGGTCAAGAGATAGAGACCATACTGGCCAACATGGTGAAACCCTGTCTCTATTAAAAATACAAACATTAGGTCGGGTGCGGTGGCTCAAGCCTGTAATCCCAGCACTTTGGGAGGCTGAGTCGGGTGGATCACGAGATCAAGAGATTGAGACCATCCTGGTCAACATGGTGAAACCCCGTCTCTACTAAAAATACAAAAAATTAGCTGGGCATGGTGGCACGCACCTGTAGTCCCAGCTACTCGGGAGGCTGAGGCAGGAGAATTGCCTGAACCCAGGAGGCGGAGGTTGCAGTGAGCTGAGATGGCACCATTGCACTCCAGCCTGGGTAACAAGAGTGAAACTCCGTCTCAAAAAAAAAAAATTATATATATATATATACACATATATATATATATATATATATATATATATATATATATATATATATATAAACATTAGTTGGGTGTGGTGATTCACACCTGTAGTCCCAGCTACTCGGGAAGCTGAGGCAGAAGAATCGCTTGAATCCAGGAGGCAGAGGTTGCAGTGAGCTGAGATTGTGGCATTGTACTCCACCCTGGAGACAGAGCGAGACTCTATCTCAAAAAAAAAAAAAGAAAAAGAGAGAGAACCAAAGGAAGCCAAGACATGGTGACTTGCTTTTCCTGGCCCTCAGTGTTGTCGGGAACGCGAACACTTGTGTGTTTAGAAGATGTGCAGTGAGAGCGGTTTACCCCTATCTGTTCTGCTAGAAATAGACAAGGTCTGGGGGTGTGGATGAAGACATGGTATTCAGCACGTCTTCAGCAACGTTCAGTGCAGGATGCCAAGTCCAGTTCTGGGCTCCGTCTGAGAGGGCCACTTTATGAGAGAGGATGAAGTTTCTGGCAAAAGTAGTCTGTAATGCATGTCTCTACTCACCTGATGAATGTTAGAGTTAAGTGGAGTTTTGAGGGACCAAAACTCTCTGGCCTCAATTCAAGGGGGGTGCAGCGAGGGGAGGTAGGGGACGTGGGAGCAGCCAGTCAATGGTTCATTCAGGTCCAGGCATACCCCGTAAGCAAACTCAGAACAGAGCAGGCCTTGGCGTGGAGGGGCAGGCCCAGCGGCGACCACCCTCACATGCTGGTCCTTTTACAGCATGCCTGTGCCCAGTTGCAGGGAAAGTGGGACTTGGAAGGCACAGGCACTAGTGAGGGTGTTTGTCCTAAGTCACATTTCCATGCTCAGTAGGGTCATTGTCCATTGGGATCATCTTTTTGTATCCCAAATCCTTCTATCCCATGCCTCCCCCAGTGTGCCACGGTCCCCAAAAGAGAGATGAACGATGATCTATGTTGTATCAAGAGACTGGTCGCATCCTATGACCAAAAGACTCTTGTCAGCGGCTGTGTTTGGAGTTCAGGAAATTTTTACCTTGTCACTTACACACCATCTCATGAGTCACCAGGCCTGCAGTTCTCACTTTATAGACAGTGTGTCAGGCTGGTGTCTGTGTGTGAAAGAGAAAGCGAACGAGTGAGCCAGCCTGGGCACAAGAGACCAACAGGGAGTGAACAACTAATGTATTTACTCGTGTCCACGGGTCCTGGAGTGACCGTTTCAGCTGCAGACACAGACCCATGATGAAGGGGAGAGCAGACCAGCCAAGCGCTCCTGGCAAAAATGACTCTGAAAACACCAGCGTGGGCAGGGCGATGGAGCTTCTGCCTTCACAGCAGCTCCAGACATCCTGGGGACAGCGTCTTGGAGAAAATCCCAGGTGGCTCTCAGAGACTTGGGGAACCTCGTGGTTTTACTTAGAATTGATTTGGCTCAGAACACGTCAGTTGCATTAGGTCACTTCTGTTTTTCAGAAAAAAAAAAGAGAAACATGCCTTTCAGGTGGG